TTTGAGTCGGAGCCTCACTCTGTCGCCCAACCTGAAAGGCAGTGGCACGCTGGTGGCCACCGCAGCCTCGATTGCTGGGCTCAGGTGATCCTTCCGCCTCAGTCTTCCAAGTAGCTGGAACTACAGGCACGTGCCACCACACCCGTCTAATTTTTTTATTTATTGTAGAGGTTAGGTCTCGCCAAATTTGCCCAGATTGGTCTCGAACCCATGGGCTCAGGCAATCCTCTCACCTTGGCCTCCCAAAGTGCTGGGATTATAGGCGTGAGCCACTGTGCTTGGCCGGTTTGGGGGGCTTTCTATTTGGGTCAGAGAAGGGACTGGTGCCCAGAGCCTTGTCAGTTCAACAGATCCCTTCAGAGGTATTTATGTATGCCTTTCATTCTAGCAAGGATACAAGAACTATGTTCTCTAATCCATGGTCACCACCTGAAGCATCTGACCTTTGAAACTTTTCATCAGAAGCCGGCCATAAAGTCTAACCTGCCAAACGGGTGGTGAAGCAGCTGTTCTGTGCAACATGACATCAGGAGAAAGCCTGGATTTTCAGTGTCCCTGATTCTTCTTGGTCCATGTGAACTTGCAAATTGACCTGGTTTGCATGATTTTAAGTTTCTACCTTCTGGAGGACAAACTGAAATATCTGTTGTGAAAGGTTTACCATTCAACTTTTAAAAGTCCAACGAAGAAGCCAGGCTCGGTGGCTCAGCCTGTAATCCTGTGCCTTTGGGAGGCTGAGGTGAGTGGATTGCCTGAGTCCGCGGGTTCGAGACCCGTCTGGGCAACTTGGCGAAACCTCATCTCTACGATAAATCAAAAATTAGCTGGGCGTGGTAGCACTCACCTGTAGTTCCAGTTATTTGGAAGGTCAGTGCAGGGCCTCCTGCAGGTCTGCGGGAGAAGGCTCTTTTCCTCCTCTGCAGGCTCTGAGGCCAGAAGACCCCCAGAGTGGTGCACCAGCCCTGCAACTGCTGCTTTAGACTCCAGGCCAGTGGATTTCTGGCACCTGGAGAGAGAGACTGGGAAGTCCTAGGCCGCTAAGCCTTAACTGCCTCCCCCCAGAGCCCTCAAAGTTGCCCTGCTAATCCAGAGCCCAGCCCAATAGAGGTTTTGGACACCACCCCACAGCCGCCCAGCAAAAGCCAAGCCCAGGAATGTGCTCATCAGCTGCCTCTGCAAAAGGGGAAAGGTATCAGTGACTGCAGTCCCCTCCCAGGAGCACATGACAGCAGTGCTCTGGGCAGCTGTGCCTTGTCCGACTTTCTGTCCAGAAGGCCAGTTCCCAGCACAGCTGGTCAGCAGGGTCAGTGCACCTTGTCCTGCAGGCAGGGAGCACGGGTGCAGGCACAGCCCCCTTCGCTCAGCCCATACTGCCTCCCCCTGAGACCCTTCAAAGGGCCATAATCCTCAGTCCTCCCCTCACATTTGGGGAGCAGAGCTCAAATCCTCTCACAGCAACTCCAAATATACACTTTTCTGTGAATATACATCTCATTGTGTCACAGGGCCCAGGTATGACACACAAACCCTGCTGAGGTCCCCTGGAGCTGAACTAGCCAGAAACCAGCCCCAACATGGGCCCCCTGAACACTGGTGAGGATGGCAGGGGCAGTGGGGGCCAGGGCAGATGCCAGCACCTGGGCTGCCGAGCTGGGGCCAGCAGCATCAGCCCATGGGCTGTGTGGGCAAACCAGGCCAATTGGTGCTGCCCAGGGGGTTGACACCGGGTCCTCATGGCATGTATGGCACAGATGGAAGACAACAGGGACCCTGGGTCTGTAAGGGCCTGTTGGGCAGGCAAGGGCTGTGGGGAAAGACGACCCCCAGTACCTCCTATGGGCTGCAGCCCAGGGGGAAACCATGCTCCCGGCGAGCATTAGTCCAGTCTGACCGCCATGTCTGGCCAGCAACTGCAGCCAGCTCTCCCATGCCTAGCCACAAGCAGAACTGGGAGGGACTTGGGGATCTTGGCATGTGGACATGCCCTGCAGCAGGAAGCACGTCAGGACGAGAAGTTGGCGGGGCACGTGGAATCACAGGCAGGGCTCTTCACAGGAACCTGGCGCGGCTGTTTGTCCTGTCTGACCTTCTGAGACAAGCATGCGGCCTCCCTCCGCCCCTCACTTCTGTTCCCTCCACCTCCTTTGGGGACATCCCAGAGGCTCTCCTTCCTCACCTGCTGTCAGGGTTGGGGCACAGACCACCCTGAGCCCTGATGGCCCCTCTGGAGGATTCCCCCGTGGAGGGACCCACAGGCACTGCAGAGCTCCAGAGTTCCATGCTTGTGGGAAGGACAGATCTAGGCTCAGAGGTGCCATGGCCCCAACGCTGCACACACCCTGGCAGCTTCCAGCCTGCAAAAATCAATTCTCTCAATGTGCTTTTCTCTACATGAAGTCTAAGTAAGCTGGACTTTTCTACATGAAGTCTAAGTTGAGCCAAATTACATTTATTTATTTATTTATTTAGAGTTGGAATCTCACTCTTGTCACCCAGGCTGGAGTGCAGTGGCACGCTCACAGCCACCACAGCCTCTGCCTTCTGGGCTCAGGTGATCTTTCCACCTCAACCTTCCAAGTAGCTGGAGCTACAGGCACACGCCACCATGTCTGGCTAATTTCTGATTTATTGTAGAGATGAGGTCTCCCCAAGTTGCCCAGGCTGGTCTCGAACCCATGGGCTCAGGCAATCCTCTCACCTTCATCTTCCAAAGTGCCAGGATTATAGGTATGAGCCACTGCGTCCAGCCTGTTTTTGTTTTTGTTTTTGAGTTGGAATCTCAGTCTGTCACCCAGGCTGAAGTGCAGTGGCATGCTCATGGCCATCACAGGCTCACCCTGCTGGGTTCAGGCAATCCTTCCACCTCAGTCTTCCAAAGTAGCTGGAACAAGCATGTGCTACCATGCCTGGCTAGCTTTTTTTATTGTCGAGACAAGGTCTCACCAAATTGCCCAGGCTGATCTTGAACCCCCGAGCTCAGGCAATCCTCTTGCCTCTGCCTCCCAAAGTGCTGGGACTACAGGCGTGAGCCACCGCACCTAACCCGCATTACCTGTGGCTAGAGTGGCTCCACCTGAGTCCACATCCAGCAGTGACAGCCAGATACCCAATGCCAGTCTCAGTAAACCAGCTCCCAGCACAGCATGAGTGTGTCCTTCATTGGGTGACCCGAAAATCCACACTGCTCTGGACATGCGTGTTACAGCCGTGGCTGGGAGACAGGGCTGTTTCTGTGTTCATTTGCACCGTGCTTCAGTAGCCAGTCTCTCAGCAAATCCCCAAAGCCTGCCTGATCTCCAGCATAGGAATTCCAGCCCAATTCCCCATGGCTTGGCAAGATCATAAAGCAGAGGTGAGGACAGGTAGTAAAATTTCAACTTTATTTGGCCAATGTGTTCAATTCCATATTGTGATAGAAATGCCTGAAGAACTGACAAGGTGCGATTCGGCCCCAGCACCCTTAGCCATTTCCCAGCCTGGGAGTCAAGAGCAGCCACGGGCCATGCTGGAGAAAACCCAGCGGTCACAGAGCAATGAGCCCATGACAGGATGAGGAACGCTGGCACAAGGAGGGAAGCGGGAACGGCCCAGGGCTGTCCTGGGCCCCAGAGCCAGCAACCACCGGTCCCTCCTCCAATTGTGGGGCTCACACTGAGACAGGATCCGGAAGTCTCTAATTAACCAAAAAATGCAAGAGCCATGCGCAGTCATGGCAACACTGGCAGGTGGTGCACAGTGACCGTGTCCAACTTGGCTCCGTCCTTCCCCACACAGGGGACAGGAATCTCCAAGGAGGTCCGGCCCAGGTGGAACAAATACCCTGATGTCGAAAAATGTCGAAAATCCCACAGATGGAATTTTTTAAGTGATAGTATAAACCTCTCAAACGGGAAGGAGACGTTACCAGCATAAGGTTCCAAGACACTTTTAGCAAGCACTCTGGACAAAACTGTGTACAAAAAAGTACATCACAATTTTTTAAAAAAGAAAAAGCCCACCAAGATGGGCTGCCCTGGAGATAAATCCCTTTCCAAAAATTGAAAAGCAAAAGGAAGAGACAGGTTTAAATTTACACGTGTGTTAGAATGAAGTGTTACTTCAGAAGATTCCCTGGATTTCCGACGGTGCCTCCTGCAGGGAGGGGTGCAGGCTTCTGGAGGTGCGTGCTGCTGGGTGTGCAGCCCACCAAGGTGTCACGCTGGGTGCCCAGGTCTGGTTTTGCATGTTACAGTTCATCTTTCACAGCTTTTTGATCATCATCTTCCTCCATGTCTGGCTCTTCTGCTTCTTCTAGATCCTCTAGATCCTGTGATGCAGGAAGAGGGGAGGGAGGGCCGGTTGTTGCAGTGGCCATTCGAGGCCGGCTAGCACCAAGCACCCCGTGCTGCACATGCTGGGGACCAGTGGCCACACTGGACATGGCCACCAGCCACCTGAGCAGTCAATTCTGATCTTTCTGAGGTGCAGGGATAGGATTCTTCCCAAGAAGAGTGGGGCTGGCAGGGGCAGCTGCTGCCTGTGGGCCAGGAGGAAGGAAGCTTCCCTCGTGTTAGGATGCCCAGCCCAGCCTTGGATCATTCTGCTGAGCGTGGTGGGGGCTGATGCGCGCCTCCCAGCTTGGCACTGTGGAGCCTGCAGAGGGCCATCCTGGCAGGGAACACAGCCCCAGTGTAGAGTTCAAGCATAGTGACTACTGGGGTGACAGTCACCCTCTTCCAGCCCCCAGCGTCCAGCCCGTGTCCACTTCCCACAGCACCAGTATATCCCAGCGAGCCCTGCCAGCCCAAGCTGATTGCTCCCCCACTCCCTTCCTCAAGTGTCATGCTATGTTCCCCATCCTAACCCCCACAATATTCTCCTGACCTCCCCTCTACTTCCCCCAGCAGAATCACTGCCACTGTTGCTGGCCCCAACTGCACGGTGCCATTGTGCTGACAGGGACATGACAACTCCCAAAGGCAAGCCCACACCTGCTCTCCTGTGCCTCACACAGGGACTAGCGAGCATTCATATTAGCAAATGTCAGCCAGTGGGCTGGGGTGGACATGTGAGTCCAAGTGTGCAGGATGTGAGGATTCTATGATGTGTGTGTGTGAAAAACTTCCTAAGCCAAGTCCCACTTACGTCATCATCCCCTGCTCCATCCTGACCACCACTCTCCAAGAACTTCTTAAAACCATCCAGCGTCCGCTCTCCATTGTAGTCAATGACCTGCAGGAGACAGGGATGAGGCGCACAGGGCTTTTCCTCCCCACAGAAAGGCAGAGGCTTCTGAAGGACCCCACAGCTCTCCTCCCACCCGACTCTTTTCTGGCCCTAGGCTAGCATGGGGACGATGGCCCCTCCCACTTGTCCCATCCATGTCCAGAAGGCGCACCGTCCTGTCCGCACTGGCGGGGAAGAACTTCAGTGTGGGGAAGCTGTGCACTTTGACGGCCTCCACCTCGTTGGCTGTTGAGTCCATCTTGGCGATGACGATATTCTCATGGTCCTTGTATGTCTCTCCCAGTTTATCCCAAATGGGAGCCAACTGTTTGCAATGACCACACCATGGGGCATCTGAAAAGAAAGTGGTTCTGAGGGTCTCTCTTGGACCACAAAACCGCACAGGGCAGGCTCCCGTGGAGTTCCGCACACTTCACAAGCTGCCCCAGGTGGAGCAGACAGATCTGCATAGCTAAAGTGGCATCACTTACAGAATTCCACAAAGACATTCTTTTTTTCATCAAAAGCAACCTCTTCAAAGTTCTTCCCGACGAGCACCTTAACGGGCTGCTTGTCCCAGTCTTCAGGCAGCTCCTGGCTCATCAAGTGGGGCTGACGGCAGATAGACCGTGGTGAGAGGCAGCACAGCCTGGGGGCCCAGAGACCCCCACCCCAGCTGGGGCTCAGGAACCCTCAGGGTGGAGGCCAATGAAGCTGAAGGTGCCACAAACCCAGAAAGGGAGGGCTAGGCCCACAAGGCAGGCCCTTGAGCAAAGGCAGACGGCACCCCTGTCAGTCTGGAAGCTTCTGCAAGGTGCACAGAGGCTTCTCTAGATTCCCAAGGTATGACAAGAACGGTGATCTTCACATTGCCTCAGGGCTGTCCTTGGGATCTTACTTTGAGGATGAAGCCACAGGAAGACCAGAGACCCAAAGGCAGCTGCCTCGCCCCAAGAGGCCAGCCATGGGCCAGCGCAGGACCCTCCAGGACCCCAGCCCAGGATCTGCCCACACCTTGATTTTGCCCTCCAGGAAGCGGTGGCAGAAATCCATGATCGTCTCTGCAGTGAGCGCGTCGGACTCAGGCTTGTACTTGGTCATCTCCTCCTCTAGCGTGATGAGACGCACAGCTGGGCATTCTTCTTTCTTCAGGCCAAAGAACTCAAGGATGCGCTGGTTGTCAGTGTGGTCGCTGTCGATGAAGATAAACAGGATCTTGGGAGAGAAAAGGCACACTGAGACAGGCCCTGGGGAGGAGGCGTATTGAAGTGGCACCTCTGCTTTCTATTTCATTGCTTCACTTAGAATGGGGCTGCCCAACCAAGCCTAGAGCAGGAGATTTGGCCTGGCCAACTCTCCCTATGTCCAGACCCCAAGGAGCAGGCTCTCCTGAAGGAGTAAGCCTTGGCAAACAGCCTTGGAGGTACCGTGGGTAGGCTGGAAGCTTCTGCTGCCTTGGGGTGAGCCATGCTGCTCCCTGGCACCCTGGAGCTGCAGCACATGAGAATAGCTCACCTTGCCCTTGAAGCTCTCAGCTGCTTTTTTGAAGTTGCTCAGTTTGCCATCGTAGTCTGACACACTCTTGGGCAGGAACAGTAGGATGTGAGTCTTGATTTCACCTCCAAAGATCTTCGGGGCTGTCTGTGTTACAAATTCAAGTTACTGGGTCTGAGTCATCATCTAAGCTACTGATGCAGTATGTTCTCCCAGTGACCCCAAGGCCGGATGGACCACAGTGGTGACTAGGACCTCCCATACCCCCACGTCTCTCCTGTGCCCCCCTCAGGTCACAGAAAGTATGAAAGCTACACCTGCTCAGTGAACTCGATGACGAGGGGCAGCTGGTTGTGCTTGATGAAGTCCAGCAGGTTCTCTTTGGTGATCTCCCCCTCAAAATTGTTCCGGCCTTCATCAAACTGCAAATAGAAAGGAGGCCTGAGTTTCACTGCTTTGAGTGTGGTCCCAGGGCCCCAGCTACTCCAGACTTGGCCAAGTACAGCCCACTTTCCCGTGGGGTTTGGAGCCACAGGTCCCAGTAGTGGGGACAGCACACGCCTGTCCCAGGACAGTCTCGACTGGTTTCTGCCATGGCCCTATGGCCACTAGTAAGTCCAAAAGCTGGTTTCACATCCACAACTCATAATCCTCCAGCTGCCCTGACTAAAGAGTGAGTGAGGCCAGGACAGCCCCAGATGCTACTGGACCTTGTCCCTGCAGGCTGGATGAGGAGGCTCACCCACTGTGCTCACTGTTGCTTCTCCACAAAGCACAGTGTTGGTTGGGGGCACGGTGTTGGTTGGTAAGGGTTGGGGGCAGTGGCGGAATGGCACCAGTGTCCTCTGGGAATAGAGACAGTATGGTCACCATGGAGGGCATGCTCCTCAGGCATGGGGCAGCCACCCAGGGGCCAGAAGCTCACCTGACCTCCTGGGGGTGCAGAGCCAGTGTGATAGCAGTGGCTGCCCACAGACCAAAAGTCATCAGAGCTGCAGCAGCCTCTGCCCATAGGCCCAAGAGCCCTTAACTCCTGTATGTGGGGATGTTGTTGGGATTTATATGTCACCTTCTTCATTTCCAAGTTCTTCAGACAACAGCCCTCAAAATGTGGTCCACACGGGGGGGAGGGGGATGGGATTAACAGTAGCAAATATCTGTCTGGGGCTGGGAAAATACCTCTTATCAACAGGGTGCCTGAATGAAACGTAATTGTACACCTAACCCTTAACTGTACCCCACAAAACCATAATAAAAAATACTGATTAATTATTAAAAAAAAGAAATGTGGTCCACACTCCGGGCCCCAACCCTTTCCCCGGCGTCTGCTTGATCAAATCTACCTTTCACAGCTGGGCTTGGTGGCCCAGCCTATAATCCTGTACTTTGGGAGGTCGAGGTGAGTGAATTGCCTGAGCCCGCGGGTTCGAGACCCACCTGGGCAACTTGACGAGACCTCATCTCTACAATAAATCAAAAAAATTAGCCAGCCTGTACTAAAAAATTAGTATGAGCCTGTAGTTCCAGCTACTTGGAAGGCTGAGGTGGAAGGATTGCCGGAACCCAGCAGGTGGAGGCTGTGGTGGCCGGGAGCATGCCACTGCACTCCAGTCTGGGCGACAGAGTGAGACTCCAACTCGAAGAAAAAAAAAAAATCTACCTTTCACAATCACACATGGATGGCCCCTGCTGGTTCAATCTCTCATGAGCACATGGTGCAGGGTTGCCAAGCTGCCACACCTGCCATGTCATGACAGGATGAGGGCAGGGAAGAAAGCCCAGCTGCCTCCCAATAAGCTATACATGAGAGAGACCAGAAGAAAGCCAAACACGACTCTTACCATTCAACTGTGCTTGTCTGGGAGAGATTAATTTTCATAAAGATGTTATTTATGACTACATGTAATGGGCTTATTGTCATTATTTTAAAATAAATGGGCCAGGTTTGATGGCTCAGTCTGTAATCCCAGCACTTTGGGAGGCCAAGACGAGTGGATTGCCTGAGCCCACGGATTAGAGACCAGCCAGGCCAACTTGGTGAGACCTCATCTCTACAATAAAAAATTAAGCTGCCGGGCTCGATGGCTCAGCCTGTAATCCCGCACCTTTGGGAGGCTGAGGTGAGTGGAATGCCTGAGCCCACGGGTTCGAGACCCGCCTGGGCAAATTGGCGAGACCTCATAGCTACAATAAATCAAAAATTAGCCTTGTGTGGTAGCGCGCGCCTGTAGTTCCAGCTACTTGGAAGGCTGAGGCGGAAGGATTGCTGGAGCCCAGCAGGTTGAGGCTGCGGTGGCCGGGAGTGGCCACTGCACTCCAGTCTGGGCGACAGAGTGAGACTCCAACTCAAAAAAAAAAACCAAAAAAATTAAGCTGGGCATGGTAGTGCACACCTGTAGTTCTGGCTACTTGGAAGGCTGAGGCAGAAGGATCACTGGAGCCCAGAGGGTCGACACTGGAGCTCTGCAGGTCGACACTGGGGTGGCCATGAGCATCACTGCCCTCCAGTCTGGGCAACAGAGTGAAACTCCAACTCAAATAAATAAATGAATGAATAAATAAATAAGTGCTTTTTAATATTTCTCGTGCAACCCTTTTGGGTTCCCTTCCACTGTGGGAGCTTTTCTGTCCTCTCAATAAATACTGCTTTCTAAAAAATATATATATATATATATATTTACATATATTTCTCAGTTCTAATTTCTTTTTTTTTTTTTTTTTGAGTTGGAGTCTCACTCTGTCACCCAGGCTGGAGTGCAGTGGCACGCTCACAGCCACCACAGACTCTACCTGCTGGGCTCAGGCGATCTTCTGCCTCAGCCTTCCAAGTAGCTGGAAATACAGGCATGCACCACCATGCTTGCCTAGTTTTTTTTATTTATTGTAGAGATAAGGTCTTGCCAAGTTGCCAGGCTGGTCTCAAATCTGTGGACTCAGGCAATCCTTTCAACTTGGCCTCCCAAAGTGCTGGGATTATAGGCATGAGCCACCGTGCCCAACCAGCTCTAATTTCTAATATAATAAATCTTTTTTTGTTTTGTTTTGAATTGAGTCTCACTCTGTCACCCAGGCTAGAGTGTTATTACCTGCTGGGCTCAGGCGATCCTTCCACCTCAGCCTTCCAAATAGCTGGAACTACAGGCAAGCACCACCATACCCGGCTAATTTTTTGATTTATTACAGAGACGAGGTCTTGCCAAGTTGCCCAGGATGGTCTTGAACCCCTGGGCTCAGGCAATCCTCTCGCCTCTGCCTCCCAAAGTGCTGAGATTACAGGAGTGAGCCACCGCAGCTGGACTGGGCCATGATTACAGGCAAACAGAACACCACTTGCCTGCAGAACAATGGGCCTGGCTCCCTCCAGAGTGCCGAGTGCTGCCTATACAATCTCATGCTGAGAAGCCAGGAGAACACAGCTGCTGCACCTGTCTTGGGGCCTGCAATCTTTTGGGTATTGTGGCCACAATACATTCATTTACAGTCTACTTTGGTTTAAAAAAAAAGTCCCATTTAGCAGGGGACGGCTGCAGGAGACCTGAGGCCATGGGCAGAGATCACTGCATCTCTGGCTGTGGAGGTCACCTCTGTCTGCCAGGCCACAATGACAAACAGCATAAAAAGGCCTGATGCTGCAGGCTGGTGGTGGAGTACTATAAAAATGAATAAATATCAGAATAAATAAAGACAATCAGCTCTCACACCCATGGTCAGTCACCAGTGGCCCCAGCTGGGGCTTCACCAGGCCTCAGTACCCTGCTTATTACCCTCTATCTTTGCTGGGGGAAAGAGTAAATGGCAATCACCCTGTTCTTCAGGAAGTATTTGGCTCAACCAGGCTGCCCATACTAGCCCAGGACAGACAGGAAGGCCCAGCTCACTTTAAGGAACTGGGTTAACAGACCAAAGGAAGACGAATAAGTAACGGCTAAAAGATGAATTCAACAGAGAAGTCAGAGAACGCAGGCACAACAGCAGCCACAGCCCTGGAACTGGCCTACTCCTGGCCATGGAGAGAACTCTGGCTTTCTGACCTCAAACGTGTCCCCTACTGACCCAGACAGCACAGCAAAGCCGGAAGCAAAGTCCACGGCTCTGCTGGGCTTCTGCTCGAGGTTGTCTGTGATAGCCATGTTAACCAGGCGACTCAGTGGACAAGAAAGCACCACAACCAACTGGTACCAGATCCAAGCAGGTTGCCTGTATCCAGCCCTGAGTGAACACCAGAGAATCGAGGCAAAAAAAAAAATCACAAGTAGTAAGCTCACATAGATGAGATACATGTGCTGGATGCTTTGCAGGCAACCAAGAAACAATCCTGCCAGTCTTCAAGGACATATGACCAGGAAACCATCCACACAGTGCGCAACGGCTGCTCCCAACATCAAGGAGAGGGAAGGAACTGTGTGGGCTGAATAAGGAAACAGGGTTTGCAAGTTTCAACAGGCCTCAGAGAAACTCCCTCAGGACCTGAGTTGTAGAATGAACTTCAGGACTTTCTCTTTAACACCCCAAGAGTTTTCATTTCCTCAATCTCATTTAACACTTCATGGGTCTCTTCTAGTCAGGTGCTTAATTTTCTTTTTTTTTTTTGAATTGGAGTCTCACTCTGTCACCCAGATTGGAGTGCAGTGGCCGCTCCCGGCCACCGCAGCCTTGACCTGCTGGGCTCCGGTGATCCTTCCACCTCACCCTTCCAAGTAGCTAGAACTACAGGCACACGCTAAAACGCCAGCTCGTTTTTTATTTATTGTAGAGATGAGGTCTCACCAAGTTGCCCAGGTGGGTCTCGAACCCACGGGCTCAGGCAATCCACTCACCTCAGCCTTGCAAGGCATGGGATTATAGGCTGAGCCACTGAGCCTGGCTAGGTGCTTAATTTTCACCTGTGCAATGACAATGGACTGATTTAGCAATTCTAGTTCCTTTACAGAATAATGTGAGGATTTCTACTGAATAGAATATCTTAAAGTTATCTTGAAGAAGGGGCTACAGAAATAGCTAAGTGACAAAGACATGGAAAGAAAGCTGTCCCAACCCACCTACGCCATCATGCTCCAGAGTGCACCAGGAAGAGGGCTCCACCCTTCCTGTCCCAGCAAAGGACTAGATGCTTCGCGTGTCCTGCAGAAAGCCAATCCCTTTCTCATCTCCAAATTACTAACCCAGCCCACCACGCCACTTCACTCAGGAAGCACGTACACAGCACCTCAGACTGAGGCCACACTGTCTCCAAATCAAGCAGCTGCCCCATTCAGACCATGTAGTTTACTACACTGCTAACTCTAAAATGCTCTTCTTCCCACTGGGACCAAAACAGAACAGGAGTCAAGGGTCCTATTCCTGTCCCTCATTCTGCAGGTCCTTTTCACGCTATGTCTTGCCCTCTGGATGGCACTAACTGCCATCACCCCTATCCAGGTTCAGCCCCACCTGCCAAGGGACAGAATAAAAGGCAAAACCCACAGGCCTATCAGTAGCGCTGTACAAACATGAAGCCTTCTGTGTCCTGGTAACAGGGAGACACTTTTCCCAAGAAGAGGGACACACAGTTGGGATGGATAGTTTTCAGAGTCTGGATCCTTAGAGGCACAGGTGGTGTGTGTGTCAGTAAGGTGGGAATGCTCCCAGAGAACTAACACTCCAGAGTTTTCATTTCAGGTGAGGAAAAATTCTGGAAATACATAGAAGTGATGGTTGCATGGCACTATGGATATAATTAATGCCATAGAATTCTACTTGCAAATGGTTAAAATGGCAAACCTTTACGTATGTTTTACCATAATCTAAAAAAAAAAAAAAAAAAAAAAGCTAGCAAGGTGCGGTATCTCACACCTGTAATCCCAGCACTTTGGGAGGTGGAAGTGAGAGGACTGCTTGAGCCCAAGGATTCGAGACCAGCCTGAGCAACTTGGCAAGACCTCATCTCTACAATAAATCAAAAAATTAGCCAGGTGAGGTGGTGCATACCAGTGCTTCCAGCTACTTGGAAGGCTGAGGCGGAAGGATCGCCTGAGCCCAGCGGGTTGAGGTTGCAGTGGCCATGAGCATGCCACTGCACTCCAGCCTGGGCAACAGAGTAAGACTCCGAGTCAAAATAAATACATATATAATAAAAATGAAAGCTAAGAGTCAAAAGCAGATCCACTTTTGTTTTTTATGAAGTGCTACACACTAGTGGCAGGAAACTGGCCAAAAGACCCAAGGCTAAGTTTTACAAAGGCCACAGTGTCAGCAGCTCCCACAGTCTGACTCTGTAAAGCTACAGAGCAGACCTTACTCAAAAGTCCAAGGCCACCGGGGCAAGGTTCTCCCAGCAATAAAGAAAGCAACACTACCCCCTGCAGACCAGCCCCTGAACTACCCCAGGGCAGCAGCAGGAGCTCACCTTCTTAAAGAGGACAACTCCATCTTTATCCAGTTGATACTTGGAGAACACATCACTGTTGGACGTGATCCCAAACGGTATGTCATCGATGGCCTCTGCTGCCTGCAAGAACTGCTTGGCAAAGTCCGACTCCACGTCCTGGAAGAGGAGGGAGAATCAGAGGTAGCCATGTACCCTGACACTGAAGCACCCTTGCCTAGGATAGTAGCAGGGCAGACACGGCATAACCAGGTCAAGGGGACACATGCAGAGCTGCTGGCCACAAGCCACAGGGACCCCCTCCTTCAACCACGACAGAAAATAAGAAGACTGAAGTTCTGAAGCCTCTACCTTGAAGAAGCCGATGACAGCCACCTCGCTGGACGCCACCAAGGACTCTGTGGCCGCGCTGTCAGACAGGGTGGTGGCAGCTGGACCTGTACGCTTCTTCAGCCAGTTCACGATGTCATCAGCCTCTCTGCCAGCTACACCCCAAACAAATGTAGATTCCACTCTCAAACAGGGAGTGCCCCACCCTGCCAGGCCCATTCCTATCTCTACTCTCTGCCAAACAAGCTAAGAACACCTGACTAAACACCTAGAAGAAGAGGCTCTCTCACCAAAGAGGCATGGGCCCTGTCTGCCCACCTCCCATATCCCAGTGTGTGTGAGACGGTGGTTGTGTTTAAAGGGAGGGTTGGAAGGGTGGTTCTCTCTGGGTCACAGGGTCAGAAGCCATTTTCTTCCCCAGTTACGTTGCCTTTTTAAAATTTTCCTCTACATTTTTTTTTTGAGACAGGATCTTGCTCCATCACCAAGATTGGAGTGCAGTGGCGCTATCATAACTCAATGCAGCTTCCAACTCCTGGGCTCAAGTAATTCTCCTGCCTCAGCCTCCAGAGTTGCTAGGACTACAGGTGAGTGCCACCATGCCTAGCTAATTTATTTATTTATTTATTTTGAGTTGGAGTCTCACTCTGTCACCCAGACTGGAGTGCAGTGGCCGGTCCTGGCCACTGCAGCTTCGACCTGCTGGGCTCTGGCGATCCTTCCGCCTTGGGCTTCCAAGTAGCTGGAACTACAGGTGCGCGCTACCATGCCCGGCTGATTTTTTGATTTAT